AGAATATGGGTTACAAGGGTGCATGTGTACTCTGTGGTTTAATGCAATCCACAAAATCTATTTTCGAAATTCACGCATACGACCTCCGACGATCGATGGTTGATTGAGATTTCTATGCGCGATTTGGTTAATATCAGCGGTATTCTTGGGCTGCCTTATGGAAGCTCAAATTAAGTGTGAGTTCGAACTATCCTCAGCCTTACATAAGAAAGCCTGCACGATTGAATAAGTGATGCATCGGAATCGAATAAAGTTCTGAGGTCGACGAAGTATAGTGGCTGAGCGATACTTCAATGTTCACCTCGGGAAAACCTCTTTGTTTGACCAGTCGGCCGCCGACGCTCAGATGACCTTGATCACTAGATTAAATAAGTTACTTGCTTTTTAGTTGTACACTTACTCTATGCTTTTGTCTGCTATTATTATATTTCACACTTGTCTGAGGACAGACTGTGTACCAAGAAAATGGTACAATAATCGTTATAAAAAAGAAAAACGTTTGATGTTTAGCATGTGGCTGAATACTGCCAGGTTGCTAAGGCAGGTAAATATTCTTGAGGAATCCACAACCGGAGCCTTCGGCTAACCAAAGCACCGACCCGCAGTGCAGCGTGGCGGTGTGAAAACCGCATTCCATTGGGAACCGGTGTCCAGTTCATCGGATCATACGCCCTTCGGACGGGGTCAAACAACCAGGGTGCTTAATACACCTCAATGCCCAATCGAGCCGGTGACCATTGCCACAACCAGGAAGGTGTGCATATGGTTTCCTACGCCTCCTCTGCTTTTGTCTGAGACGCTGTCAGACATCATCTTGTGTAATTTGAGCTCGGTTTGTTAGTTTATAAGTTACATTGGACGTATTTTTCTCCAGGCCAGCTCTGCAGGTGATGAAGAACATTTAGTCCCCGAAACGTTTCTCACGAAGTTTCTTGCCACTTCTTGTTTTCGGTATCGTAGTGCCTTGGGGTAGTGGTGATATTGGTCAAGCGGTGTAGGTCTTCCCTANNNNCCCTATGATCCGAGGCTCTGACCGTGTCATCGCTGCCTAGCTTCATTTAGCTGTTTTTCGGTTCATTAACACACCTACCCTATGAAACCCTTACATTATTCACCACTTTGATCGCTGATCCCCACAAATCAGTTCAAATATTCTTCAAGTTATGTAGTTTATACAACCTGTTCATCATAGTGAACTGTGTAAAACAACGAAAATGGAAGTATTAGGCCTACAAGTCTATGGTTGACTGGGTGAACTGAAGATTGTGCGTAAAGATGAAACATGAGCGGTGGCCAATCGAGGTCGATATTACTCACTTGTCCCGTAAAACTGCTTGCAGCGTACGGTTAGTTAAAAGTGAAAACTAAAAAGGGAACGACTGAATCGACGAAATGTTGGAGAAATAGCCTCTGATGACCCTTAGGCCTTATCGGTAGATCCAAGAAGAGCACGATTCCTCTATTCATTTGTTTAGTTTTCTCAAAGAGAATTTGTGGCTTTATTCAGAACTATTTTTATGCATTTATTAGTTTCAAACGAAAAAATCCCCTGGTTCCCGTTTCATTGTGACTGCCGTTTAAAGATAGATGCTCTATTGTACAATGCTGGTGATATCCCCTAAACTGATTTTTCACCGACCTTCTTTATTCAGGCAAATCTGTCTCCAGACGTTTTGTCCTACTGTAAGAAAGCCCGCTTACTGGGATCAAATCAGTCCCCGGATGTGCTCACAAAAGGATTACTCGAAGGACTGGTTACTTACACTAAGGTCGGTAAAGGTGATCAAATGTTCGTACATTGTGTACTCTCTATTTCGCATAACAATGCCATTTAATAAAAATTACCCAAATCAGTCAACTCATTGTTACTTGCATCCTCCGCTTAGCGCAAAACATCATGCTTGTTTGCTTTGATTTAATTCTTATTTATTTTACAATAGCGTTTCAGGTTGAGTCTTTTTGGTCTTGGTACCATGGCCATAGCCAAACGGTTGTAGCTGCAATCCATGACGTACGTCGCGATTCAATTCATACGGCAGCCGCGTTGACGTCTTATTCAATACCGCGCTTGCTACCCTGTGATGTAACGTGGTTCATTAGTATTACTCGCAGGATTTAGACTTTCATATTCTCTATATGCAAATGGTACATCCTTGTTTGTTCATTTTCGACTATTGATCTCGCCGTGGCGTTTATCAAAGAAAGAACCCCTTACTTCTGCCATTTTTTCCTGTTTGCTAGTTTGTGCTGTCCTCACATCTGTTATCTTCAAATAACCTAACAACATTAGCGGTCATATGTAGTCTCCTATTTGTTTCTCACTTCGAATAAACACACACACACACATAAAGTCACCAGTTGAGATATTCTATCCGATTCTTTCTGTAAAGGGAAAAAGCTTTATGAACTTAGTATACATATGATATTGTTATAATTCCAGAAGACCGGTGCTAGTTCAAGCAGAGTTGTTTAATACGAACCACAGGCTATGGATAATTTGACGTACATATAACAAGTGGTCTCATTTTTAACATATCATTGCGATTCCCGGCAGCACACAAGAGCAGTCCGTAGTTATCACCTGGAACACAGCAATTCATCTAAGACACGATTTGTTTATTTCCGACCGTTGAAAGAAACCGCCAGTCACTTCCCTTTGCGCAATCCAACCATATTACTCACCTATGTAAATAGAACCTCACGATAGTTTTTTTTTTGATAAGATACTTGATGATTGTAATAGCTGCTTACGACAAAATGAAAATACCCTTCAGCTGTTTATACCCAATGATCGATCCCAACCTTCCCTAAATGCGATATACCGATACAATATTGTGGTCAACACAAATTACTTCTTACAATAAGGCATACTCATAATATTTGCAGCTTTTTAACGACTTTGTTATCGTTTATTTTTTTGGGGGGTGGGGTTATTGATGCACATGTAACGAATTTTACACATAATTCAATCACAACTCGCAAGCATTCGATCATATGCAAGGCAACTTCTTCCTTTTGAATTCAGTGCAGAAATCTTATTATATTCGGATGGATTCTCGAAAAATTGCAAATAATTCTCTAATTCGTTCTCTTGGTGACCTTCCTTTTTCAGAATGATGACTTTGTGAAGATTTTGCTATGCGACCCAGATTTCCCCGGCCTTCTGCATTTCTTGGTCAGATTGGCATTAGGCAGTTACCATCCAGTTCCACAAACTCAGGAATCGAGCCTTAACAAGGTCATATCACTGCTTGATCATCCGGAGATCGCCCCAAATGAATGGCCGACAGATGTTGTTACAAATACACCTAGTACGCTATCGCAACCTGAACGAACCCCGCTATCGGACATGCTACGAACTACGGAATCCCATCCTGAGTATCCGGTTCATCTGCTGGTGGCCAACATACTAGCTAACGCGTCGCGTTATTTGCCAAACAATCACGTTTTGCTTAACGAAGGTATGCATTTGGACGTATTTTGCTCCCCTTTGGGCATTTCCATTTTGAATTAAGTCGTCTGTCTGCCTGACTGTTTGATTGTGCTACCTGACCTAGAAGGGCCTTATGTGGTTCGCATCCCCAAGTCTCGCGGCCAAGTTTACCGGTTGCCATCGCTGAACAGTAAGTCTTCGTGACTATGAGATCCACCCCATCTGCTATTCATCGCACAAAGATGCGTGCAATCAAAAGTGCTTGACGAGCTTTTATACCGTTATGATTATTTCTGTGTAGCGACCAGATTGGGATCTACTCGATGTTTCTCAGCCGCGAAGTAAACAATCACACGATCTAGAGTGCGTAGATTTTGTGTTTTTGGTTGACGATTGCCGTGATCCACGTCATATATAGGGGATTGAAATGATTCAAGTGAACAACCTAGCCGTGTGTACAACAATTGAGAACGAGTTGACAGAAAACTGTGGTATCGCTTGGTGTTGGTTTCGTTCTTGGGGTTGACATTTGGATCGCGAACGTTTTACTCTCGATCGAAGTTGTTTCAGTTGCAGTAAACACTTACATTAGATGACTGAAACCAAAATACTCCCAGGAACAGTTGCTGGTTGCTTATTTGTAGTTAAATCCCACGATTCGCTCAGATGTTGAAAAATGCTGTTTCATTGTGCTTTGTCATTACCTACATCTATCCTCTGCCTGCTTTTGTTTCTAATACTGAACTAGGACAGAGTTTACTACGCAGTGTTCAAGGCTCGTACACCTGCATTTGCAAGCCGTTTTAAACTATAGTACCAGAAGCCTCAAACGAAAATTTCCCTTTTAACATTTCCGCTTCTCTCTATTGACCACTGACGGGCAGTAGATGAACACAACCCGATAACGTCTTTTTCAACAAGAATGCATGCCTCTGAATTCATTTGGTTATCATATTGTTTCTATTCCTAAATACTATCATCCTCGATAAGACACTCGCTCTTTTTCACATCTACTTCTGTGGCCTCTTTTCGTGATTTTTGATAAACAGAATTGGATTATCATCAGTTGACAGACAAATCGATTGCTAATACTTTTGATCATCCTCTTATGTTTACGAGATAATTAATTCAACATACTTGCGTACTTAAACTTTTGAGCGATTCTCTTCCGCTTGAGGATAAGTCTACTTCATGGATTCCTCGGATGATGACAGTCCATGCATGGCGATCATCACCAAGGTTGGTGCTATGTGGGACCCAGTTCTGGTTCTAGTTACGAGTTCAGTATACGGATCGCTGGCCCAGTACTTCCATATTCCCCTCGATCGTACCTCTCCAATTCTCCATTTGGCCACCGAGTCGGCAACGCCCTCCGCGGCAGGGTGCAGGGCTATAGTCTGGCTCGAGATTTGAGTGTCAAGCCTTCGGAGCACGTGGCCAACCCACTGAAGGTCCCAGCGTTGTAGCACTTAGGTAACCATGTCGACGTTCGAGCAGCGCCGTCAAACCTCATCATTGGAAACCCGCTCTCGCTAGTGCACTTTCAAGATGCGAGGTGAGCACTAATGTCCAGCGACCTCGTGCTTCCTGCGATCCTGTACTCTTAGCGGCCATGTTTACAACCATAAATGAGGCGGGCTGGTAAAGGCCGGATAAACTCGATACATAGTGTGTAGGTTCATTTTGTATCGGTTCCACAACGGTCTGAGGAGTTGCATGAAGGCTCTTCTAGCTCCATCTACACGAAGCTGGATTTCATTCTTCAGTTTGATTAAAGAGCCAAGACACTTGAAAACTTGCCTCGATTCGACAGACCCCCCTGGTAATCGAGAAGGATTTGGTTGCGGCCGAAGTTTCGTTCGAAAATGTCTTGGTTTTCGACGTATTGATCTCTAGCCCAATGGCCTGGACTGCGATGGACGACAGGATGGAGCTTAGCCAAGGGTTTCTCAAGTACGGCGACATCCGCAAACTCGAGGTCCGCGATCCATGTATCTGGGTCAAGCTGCACTCTGGAGTAGTCGATGAGTGCTTGTGGTATTATCCAATCGACTGTGTAATTGAGTAATTCCGGCGATTGAGAACAGCCTTGCCTGACTCCAGAGCTTATTGTAAACTCAGTTAATTCTTCTCCGTTGGTACGTTCGTTTGCCCAGGTACCTAATTGATATGACTTTAAAACCCCCGTCGAATTGCAGAGGGCATCACAAGGATTCTCTCTATCGACAGAGTCAGAGGTCGATGTAACACTGTGACAGATTGCTTGAACATGTAGCGGGGTTTCAAGATCCTACAGAGAGTGAAGAGTTTTTCAACAAGGCCTCTTCCGACGAAACCGCCATTGGTATCTCTGACGGGCAATTTGCAGTCAAGCAGTATCACCAAACTTTTTGGTGGCAATATGAATGTGTTTGATTTCTCTGCAATTTTCCTACTGCGACACGAATTAACCTTCCAAAGTCCGCTTCGGCAGTTGCAGCCTCTATGCTATCTGCAATCGCCT